TTTTTGGCATCAAGACAATTTTTGCATCATTATTCTTATTGCCACATTCCTAAATTAAAAAAAATATATACCTTTGTATATATATATATATATATATATATCATATATACACTATATTGCCAAAAGTATTTGCTCACCTGCCTTGACTCACATATGAGCTTAAGTGACATCCCGTTCCTAATCCATAGGGTTCAATATGACATCGGTCCACCCTTTGCAGCTAGAACAGCTTCAACTCTTCTGGGAAGGCTGTCCACAAGGTTTAGGAGTGTGTTTATGGGAATTTTTGACCATTCTTCCAGAAGCGCATTTGTGAGGTCGCACACTGATGTTGGACGAGAAGGCCTGGCTCTCAGTCTCCGCTCTAATTCATCCCAAAGGTGTTCTATCGGGTTGAGGTCAGGACTCTGTGCAGGCCAGTCAAGTTCATCCACACCAGACTCTGTCATCCATGTCTTTATGGACCTTGCTTTGTGCACTGGTGCACAGTCATGTTGGAAGAGGAAGGGGCCAGCTCCAAACTGTTCCCACAAAGTTGGGAGCATGGAATTGTCCAAAATGTCTTGGTATGCTGAAGCATTCAGAGTTCGTTTCACTGGAACTAAGGGGCCAAGCCCAGCTCCTGAAAAACAACCCCACACCATAATCCCCCCTCCACCAAACTTTACACTTGGCACAATGCAGTCAGACAAGTACCGTTCTCCTGGCAACCGCCAAACCCAGACCCGTCCATCAGATTGCCAGATGGAGAAGCGCGATTCGTCACTCCAGAGAACACGTCTCCACTGCTCTAGAGTCCAGTGGCGGCGTGCTTTACACCACCGCATCCGACGCTTTGCATTGCACTTGGTGATGTATGGCTTGGATGCAGCTGCTCGACCATGGAAACCCATTCCATGAAGCTCTCTGCGCACTGTTCTTGAGCTAATCTGAAGGCCACATGAAGTTTGGAGGTCTGTAGTGATTGACTCTGCAGAAAGTTGGCGACCTCTTCGCACTATGCGCGTCAGCATCCGCTGACCCCGCTCCGTCAGTTTACGTGGCCTACCACTTCGTGGCTGAGTTGCTGTCGTTCCCAAACACTTCCATTTTCTTATAATACAGCTGACAGTTGACTGTGGAATATTTAGGAGCGAGGAAATTTCACGACTGGATTTGTTGCACAGGTGGCATCCTATCACAGTTCCACGCTGGAATTCACTGAGCTCCTGAGAGCGACCCATTCTTTCACAAATGTTTGTAAAAACAGTCTGCATGCCTAGGTGCTTGAATTTATACACCTGTGGCCATGGAAGTGATTGGAACACCTGATTCCAATAATTTGGATGGGTGAGCAAATACTTTTGGCAATATAGTGTATATATATATACATATGTGTGTGTCTGTATTAACTCTGTGTGTCTGGATCTAACTCTTTGTATCTAACTCAGTGTGTCTGGATCTAACTCTGTGTGTCTGTATTAACTCAGTGTGTCTGGATCTAACTCTGTGTGTCTGGATCTAACTCTGTGTGTCTGGATCTAACTCAGTGTGTCTGGATCTAACTCTGTGTGTCTGTAACTCCGTGGGTCTGGATCTAACTCTGTGTGTCTGGACCTAACTCTGTGTGTCTTTATTATCTCAGTGTGTCTGGATCTAACTCTGTGTGTCTGGATCTAACTCTGTGTGTCTGTATTAACTCTCTGTGTCTGGATTTAACTCTGTGGGTCTGGATCTAACTCTGTGTGTCTGGATCTAACTCTGTGTGTCTGGATCTAACTCTGTGTGTCTGTATTAACTCTGTGTGTCTGTATTATCTCAGTGTGTCTGGATCTAACTCTGTGTGTCTGTATTAACTCAGTGTGTCTGGATCTAACTCTGTGTGTCTGGATCTAACTCTGTGTGTCTGGATCTATCTCAGTGTGTCTGGATCTAACTCTGTGTGTCTGTATTAACTCTGTGTGTCTGGATCTAACTCTGTGTGTCTGGATCTAACTCTGTGTGTCTGTATTATCTCTGTGTGTCTGGATCTAACTATATGTGTCTGTATTATCTCTGTGTGTCTGGATCTAACTCTGTGTGTCTGGATCTAACTCTGTGTGTCTGGATCTAACTCTGTGTGTCTGGATCTAACTCTGTGTGTCTGTATTAACTCTGTGTGTCTGGATCTAACTCTGTGTGTCTGGATCTAACTCTGTGTGTCTGTATTATCTCTGTGTGTCTGGATCTAACTCTGTGTGTCTGGATCTAACTCTCTGTGTCTGGATCTGTATCTGTGTGTCTGGATCTGGATCTGTGTGGGATGTGCGGCAAACAAAAACTTTGAGAACTCAAAGGTTGCTTCAGAAATGTGTGATGAATGGCTGCAGGGATGTTAGTTTGAAGCCAGCTTATTAAAGGGGTCATTGTTTTTGAAACATGGTTTACATTCTGATAGATGAATAACAATAGTTCCGTGGGTGAAATAGACGTACAGTGAAGTTCAAACGCCATCGACACCTCCTTTTTCTTCAAATCTCACATTTCAAAACTTAGACCATAAAAGAGGCAAATCCAAACGAACCCCAGAGTTTACACAAACTTGGGGATGTTGCCTTATTTGATTCTGGCCTGTACTTTTGTCACACCTTGAACTTGACATACAGACCAGCCTATTGGTTCACTGGCCCAAGGGAGAGGGGGGTATGAAGTGTCGACTGCTGGGCTGCTGACTGTATCGGACCTCAGCAGAGAGCCATGAGCCGACTGTCCTCAGCCAGAGCAGAGGGGCTGGGGGCCAGTAAGGCAGGAGGGGGGAAGCACGGGGCCGCCTGTGTCCAGGCTACCGTGACCGGGTCGGGTTTGGTCGCTCCATCACTGGCTGGCTCCCTGCCCCCATCCACCGGAGTTCCCGGATCAGCCCCGGAGCTGACGGCTCTGTTCGAATGCCTGGTGTGTTTCGACAACGTGCTGCACTGTAGTTGACCAAATTCACAGACAATTTTGAAATTCCCCCCTGTCATTTTTTTAGGTGTGAAAAGTAGGACATGTCCGGGAAAAAGAGAATGTCTAGTCACCCTACCTTATCAACAAATTGATGTTTCAGTGAGTGAGTGCTTGTTGCTATGATGCGTCTTTGCTCAGCAGCTTCGCTCATTGTAAACAAACCAATCAGCGCACAGCTCGTCTAAACATTCATAAGCATACCATAAAAGGAGGAAAACCTGTCGTTTCATTCTAGGGCTTTTAACCAGGCTTGCAGTAGACCTCATAGAACAGCAAATATGTAATTTTCAGCCCAACCAATGTTACACACCCTATTCAGAGACCTTAAGGACCAGCACCAAATACCCTATAGAATCATTCTATGACCCCTTTAATGATCCGCAGAGTTAGCGGCGTCTGTCTCACAGTCGATCCAATCCGGAGCTCAGAGACCAGCCAGCCGCTCTATGTTGCTCCCTTTTCTCAACAACGGTGGTTCTTTAAAGGTTTGTTGACAAACTTCTGAACTAAACAATGTTGAGAAATAAAAAGAAAGAAATTATCTTGTGGCCAACAGACATTTTTATTCCATTTAAGCCTTTTCTTATTTTTGAGGATTTTTTCATTCAAATTTTAGCGTTATTTTTTTTTTGTCTTCATGGTTTAAAAAAAAATGCATGAAGGGTGTCTCCTCTGACTCATCTAGTAGAATAGCTTTAAACAGATTCAGTGGTTCATATAAACCAAAGGTACTGAGGAAGAACAATAGTTTTGCTATTAAAGGGTTACTACTAAAGGCTAAAATAAGAAAAGGCTTAAAATGGAAATGGAAGCCTGGACATATGTGCTTCATATGTCCAGGCTAGAAGAAAAATAAATACAGATTTTGATTCACTGGTTCACATAACATAGAAGCTATTTAGGAAAAAAAGCTAAACTTTGACAAATAAAAATCTTTAAAAATATGAAAATACTTCAAATTAAGTTTAAAAGATGTGCGTCATTTATGTAATCTAGTAACAGTATTTGTATTTGTGTGTTTGACCTGCTAATGGATAAAAATAGACCGGAGGAAACAAAAACATGAATCGATACCCTTGCAGACGTATCGATGCATCGGATAGTCAGCTGTTGGATCGATGCATCGATACAAAACGATTATTATTTACACCCCTAAATCAGACAATCAGTGAGGCTAGTATTGACATAAAAACACAATTTCAATTTCATTTTGTGAAGCAAAAGAAACTAAAACATTGTTAAAAAAAAGAAAAAAAAAAGTAGTTGTTACCGTCTGTGGTTCATAGGTGTCCGTGAAATTTAAATACATTTATTTCCCATCCCAGTATGGGTGGTAAATATCTTATTTAATCAGACATTATTTAAACTGTAATCTATTGTTTGTGAACAAAAAAAGAAAAAGTGAATCAAGCTCAAATTATGATAAAACTGCTAATTCTGCACATATATGGAATAAATTCACCACAACTTCTGTTCAAAATATAAGAGTTTATAAAATAAAAATACTTAATCTCCAAGTCAAACATATTTCTGGTAAAATGACTAAAAACTAGTCAAAGCTGTTCGATGAACAAAGCTGCCTCCTCTTCTCCAGTGATCAAAGATGGGCATTGGTTTTCAATGTCTAAAACTTCCTCATGGTTTATGGCCCAACATAAGAAAATGAAAACTGGGAAAATGAAAAACGATCTGCAACTGTAGTGGAAGAAGTATGCAATAGTTGCTGTAATCTATTTTGAAAGTGCATTTATGACTGTTCAACAGGAAACTATTTTTTCTCTTTGGGTCCCATTTGATGATGTGTTGTGTAACATCATATCAGACAATCAGTTCGGCCAAGATGAACATAGAAAATCTAGTTAAAAAGGATTTTCAATTTTATTTTGATGAATATGAAAAACTATATAAAAGTACATTGATAAATAGTATGCCATTGTTATAGTATTCTATTATGAAAGTGTATTTAAGACTTTGATTATCTTTTGCAGGAAAATATTATTCACCTATGCTACATCAGTTGAATAAAGAGAGATCAGTGATCATTTAGTTTGTACTTTATTTGGTCTTTGCAAAGATAAGAACAAGAACATCATAGAAGCCACAGCTCACGTGCTCAGTCCTGTTCTGACTCAGACAAAGTTTTCTATCTTAAACTGAAGGTCTTAAAATTAGTTACTCATGGTTTGAGCAAAATCATTTTTTTTATCCCACATCCCATCAGAGATAAGACATTTAAATTTAACAAAATGGTTCTAAAACCAGTCTTCTTCAAATGCTAAATAATAATATGAACAAAGAGCCTCATTGTATCAAACTCATACACAAACACTTCAAAAATAATAAAATGAGAATTACACATTGATATTACTGCTTTTTTCTCAAGTTTTGTTTGGTTTAACTTTTGTTCTTTATCTACAGCTATAGATCTCCATGAAGACAAATGACTAAAACATTAAAATTATATCTCCTGTACTCTGTATCTTGCAGTTGTAGGTTTCTTTTATTGGACCCCTCAACATTTTTTTTTATTTTCGGTTATATACAGTGAAATACCTCCTATCTTAATAATATACCCAACTGTAGCTACAGCTCCCCCTACTGCACCTCCAATTACTGCTCCACCCACAGCTGCTTTTGCTGCTAAAGCCACTGCACAAGGCACAACCATATAAGCACCAAAAATTGCTCCCAGTAATGCTCCCACTGTAACTCCAGCTAAGATGATCGAATTCGGCCCCTTACCCCCATTGCCTCCTTCTTCCCCCACTAACTCAAGAAGCTGATTGGTGTAGGAGCCCTGGCTGTTTTTAATTGTTTTTATTGTGTTGAGAAGCTGCTCCACCTGAAACTTGTTGCTCCTGTAACCTTCCTGCTTTTCTTTCCAGTATTTGCTATCAAGAACGTGGCATCTGCCACCACACCTCTCTACAAACTTTTTCAGATCAGAATCCTTTTCAACAAAATCCTCAATTGTCATCCCATCTTCCAGTTGGTCTCCATGCGTAAACACAACCACAGCGCGTTTCAGAGCCTCCTCTGAGAAACACTGCTCTATTTGCTTGATGATTTCCTTCTCCTGGTCTGTGTATCGATCCACTCTCAGCACAATAAGAATGGCATCAATCTTGCCTTCACACAGTTTGACACTGTGTATTATCTCACGCTTTAGCCTTTCTTCATCCATGGTGTTGCCAACGAAGCCAGGAGTGTCGATCACTTTGATAGGTACCCCATTGATGTATTTTCTTTCTGCTTGGCCCATATCTGTTTCAGATGTAGGAGATGATTTTTCTTTAAACAGACTGTCTCCCAGGATGGTATTTCCCAGGCTGCTCTTCCCAATACCAGTTTTTCCCAGCAGGAAAATGTTGATTTCATCTGATCCTAAAAAAATAAACATGTTATTTTTATTTATTTGGATGATAGTTATGATATAACAACTATTAAACCAATTTACAGTTTGATAAATCTTCTATTAGAACGTTTCAATGTGAACACTCAATCACAATTACAGGAGGTCAGCTGAGAATTATTATGAAGATGCAAGAAATTATATTTTAAAGCAATGATTTAACGAAAGCAAATGGATCAGCATTAACTTAAAGAAACAATTTGTTATTTGACCAACTGAAAGACAACCTAGTGTAAAACAAACTCATACAGGATAAAAACACCTTGTTGCCGAGTTATAGCTTATAAAAGTAGAATGATTGTATTTTTGCTCTAAATCAGATGCTAATTTAAGGAGATGCTATATTCATTTAAATAAACATAGTAGTTATAAGATATGTATTAAATACATTTTTGATGTTTGTAAAAGATGTTATCTAACATCATCTTGAGACTATAAATGTTTGGTGATTGGTACATCAGACCCGTAAACCTTGAAGAATATTTTATTATTTATATTAAACTTGGACTTATCTAAGTTTAAAAAAACGTTTGACATCTTTTCAATATACAAACAATAAATAATGTGAATTTTTTATGATGTAAAAAATTAAGGTCTGCATTTTGTGGATTTGTTTTTGCTTACTAACATGCCATTGATGTGGTGATCTATTTATGTAAGACTTTTATTTAAAGGGTTAAGTATTTCTAAAGTTTTGGTAATTTGGGAATTCAGGTCTTTGAGGCAAGCTATACAATCATATCTGGATAGCGAAATGTACGACGGGTCTGGCAGATTCTTGAATCCCTCCTTTTCTTTTAACAGTATTTATTGGAAACTGTTTCACTAGTTACAAAGCAATGTATAATGACATAAATGAAGTTAAATTTCTTTCGTTTTTTCTTTCTTAAACAACAGGGCTAATTTCCAAAAAAGGCCTACGGCCTAAACTGCTAATATTATCAACCAACATAAAGGTCATGCAGGGGGGTGTGGATGTGAACATTTGAACATTATAAGTTATTCTGGGCCTGAGAAATTTTTATTTAAACGGTCAAAACGTAAGGTTTGCCTAATAAAACATGTTTACAGACAAAACTTTAAAATTTTCCTTTAACAAAGGAAATAAACAGAATGAACTGTAACTGTAACATATTGGTTACATCTGTATCCAGTTTTGTGCCCACAGAGCAAGTAACTGAGAACTTAATGATGATTAGATTGAATAAAAATCCAGGAAAACCTTTATTGTGCCATTTAGTAACAGTTTGGCACAAATGCTGAAGTTTGGAATTTATTTTTGAAATTTAAAATTTAGTTGTTATGAAAATACAGTTTTTCAGGTGCTTTTTGAGGACTTTTTTTAGTGGTCAGTTGAAAATGATCAGAGTTTTGCTAATGAATTTGGCTTGGGTATATTCAGTGTGTTGGCTTTCATTAGAAGTGAATTTTTTGGTGCTGCTATGCATGTTGTTGAAACCAGGCCCACATAAACTTGGTCATAAATTCTGAGTGCTTTTTGGCATGGTGTTGAAGCCGTTGTTGGTGGATATTAGTAGATTAGTAGATAGTCCGGTGGAGGAATCTCAGATGAAGATCTGGACATATGATAAATGTGTTTTAATGTCAGAGTTAATCAGCTACAAGCTTATTATTGTGTAAAATAGCTCCAGGCCCCTTGAAAGGGGGAGCTCAGGATAAAGGGGCTAATGGACGACCTCATATAATGTAAAATCAGACACAGCGGATATGAAGTAAATATAAAATACAAAAAATAATACATATAGAGAATAAATAAATAAAATGTATGTGACTTAAAAAATGTTAAAATAAAACAATAAATAAGTTATAGATAAATAAAGGGGTTGGGAGTTTTAGCTGGCATAGGCAGATATTTCTGAAATCATCTAATATGATTTAAAAGTGGGCTATACTTTTAAATATGGCACTAGTAAAAGGTCTGAGAGCTGGTTAGATAGTCAGGTCAGCAGTTGAATCTGATGGAGGCTGATTGGGAATGGGATGGAGCTCACAGGCGTATTGAATGATGAATTAAACCAGCACTAGTGCCAAGAATCATGACACATATATAAAATAAATAAATCAAATATATCTAATAAAAATGAACAAATATAGAAATAAAAAAAAAACTACAAATAATTTATAAATAAATAAAGGGGTTGGGGGTTTTAGCCGTCACAGGCAGAGATTTCTTAAATCATCTATTATGGTTTAAAAGTGGGCTCCATGTATTTTAAAACATATTTGAGTGGAAAGTAGAAATGCTCTCTGTTCCTACTGCTGATAATAGGGAGGAGTCTGAAACTAGAGCCTAGTGTAGACAGTTTTAAAATGTTGGTACTCGGTCTGTTGCTCTCTCAACTTATAGGCGCTAAACATTTTCACTTTTGTTTCTGCGTTAATAACCACGTCCTTTAACCAAATGTGTTTCCACGACAGCATTGGGTTGTTAGGCTGGGATGTTTGTGATAGAGTTTGTCTCATTACTGCTATTACTAATGATCAGCAGATGAAGCCTCATCAAGCATTTCTCCAGATTCCCTAACCTGTATTGATAGGGTGTTTGTCATAGACATCTATATAAATACACCCTGCATTGACTTCTATCGCCTATTGTTGTGGCGACAGTGGCGTTGGATGTAGGAGTTTGCCCTGAAATCCAAGGGTTGACGGTTCAAGCCCCCACTCCAACTTTCAGTGTCGTTGTGTCCTTGGGCAAGACACTTCACCTGCATTGTCTACTGATGGTGGTCAGAGGGCCCGGTGGCGCCAGTGTATGGCAGCCTCGCTTCTGTCAGTGAGCCCCAGGGCAGCTGTGGCTACAATGTAGCTTGCCACCATCAGTGTGTGAGTGTGTGTGTGAATGAATGTAGTGTAAAGCGCTTTGGTCAAGTCTCCTAACTTGAATAAAAGCGCTATATAAGTACATGCCATTTACCATTGGTGCTCACAACACTCATTCAAATTATATATATATATTTATATATAAAATCAAAGAAGTTTCCTACCATGTATATATATATATATATATATATATATATATATATATATATATATATATATATATATATATATATATATATATATATATATATATATACTTCTTTTGATTTTAATTTGGAGAATCTTTTAATCTATTAAGCTTTGGAAAAAAAAACTCACAAGACCCAGCAAATGAATATTTTTTTATTCAAATTCAATTAATTAAATTGAAAGAGCTGAAATTATTTCAAAATGTGAAAAAAACTGCTACAAATTCTAATACATTGGAATTAGCCTCAAAATTAAATAAGCCTATATAAAATCCAATAACTTGACTCACCTTTCAAATATTCATTTAGAGTATTTTTTTTATAAAATAGACTGTTTATCAGAAAATCAGTATTGCTTCTATTGGCTAATTTAAAGTAAGTTAGATTACATTCTGCCAATGAATGAGTTAAAACTATTTAACAGGTCCGTCAAACTGAAGCTATTTACCATTAATCGGATGACAGGCGTTCTGCAAGTCACATGAGGGACTTTGCAGTTAGATATCAACATTCAATTCATGTATGACCATTGGCCAGACATTAACATCAAATTTCTGTATCTCTATAGAGGGACTGTTTTATGAGTTGTCTTCTCAATTCAGAGGGCGCCATGCCTGTCTTTGCCTAGGGCTCCAAATTTCCTAAATCCGCACCTGCTTCGATTCTCTCCTCCAGGTTTCATCTCTTGTGGCCAGACTTACCTCTCATGATCATGTGGAGAAACTTGCATCATTCTAAACACATTATTCTCAAACTAAGCAAGGGAGGGAGATCTCGGCAACTTGGATCCTGCGAAAGAGTCCCTGCCCTCCTTATTTTCATATTCCCTCAAATCTCGTTGTCTTTGCCGCTCGGCTGTGATGCTGTTCAGAACAGCGTCACCTGCTACTCTGGTTGCGCCTCTGAGGTTGAATATCTTTTTTATTTTAAATTTTGATTTTAAATTCTCTAATAATCCCAGAGGGAAATAACTTTTCTGCATTTAACCCATCCACTTACCCTAACCATCCCTAACCACTAGGCTGCCACTCCGTAGATTTCAGAATGTGAAATGGTTAAAGTAATGAGCCAACCAGCCGCAGGAAACAACACACAGCTCGCCAAATGTTGGAAGGGCAATATTATATAATAGAAATATACACATTCAGTGATCAAATGTTCCAGGGGATGGTATGGGGGAATGGTTATCTAAGAAGGGGGATGATTTTTAAGATTGTTTTTAAGAAGGGGGATGCCATCCCCCCTCATCCTGCCTCCACGAGTACCGTCTATACAAATATATAGAAAGACCTGAAAAAAATAGTACGAACTACTTGAAAAATGTTTTTAACAAACATACTTTACAAGCCTACTTAGAAAAATAATCTTCTCCCACAGAATGTTAATAAAATGTTATGATAGTTAAAGGTGGTAGAAGTTAAAGACAATAGAATCTGACAATACACAGCATGTCAGAAAATTAAGGAAAATATCAATGTGCGTGTGAAAAACAATTACTGTTGCCGTATGTGTATTGCGACAGGCAAAATAACTGGCATGTATCTTACCTGCCATGATGAAGAGAAGCTCAAAAAGGTGCAGACTGTGTAGTCAGTTTTTAAAATGTTAGTCTTTGGTCTGTCGCTCCCTCAAATAGACTCTAAACAGTTTCACTTTTGTTTTTGGGTTCATAGCCACTTCCTTTAACCAAATGTGTTTCACCAACAAAATTGGGTTGTTAGGGTATGTTTGTGACAGAGCAAGGAAGAACATCTAGTTGTTCTGGCACATATTTGACAGGTTTGTGGTCTTATTGGCTTCTTTTTAACATGTTTTTAAGGCAGAATAGGCCTCATTACTGCTATTACTAATGATCAGTAGATGAAGCCTCATGAAGCATTTCTCCAGATTCCCTAACCTGTATTGATAGGGTGTTGGTCATAGACATCTATATAAATACACCCTGCATTGACTTCTATCGCCTATTGGTGCTCACAAGACTCATTCAGATTAGATATTTATACAGTATTTTAACACACAGCCACTCACATGTTTCACTTTTTTGTACTATTTTAAACACTATACACACACAAAAAAAAGAAAAGTATAATAGAAAAAAAGGTGACACCATGTCAGACAAATACCTCCAACTATTGGAGCAATATTGTTGCAAAATTGTTTGTAAATGTGTATCGAGAATTGTGTCTCTGTATATAGATGTGTGTGTGCAGTGGGATTTGAAAATGTGTGAGGAGATTTGTCTGTCTGTACAAGTATCAGCAAATGTGTTAAATAAATTGTGTGTAATTGATTTTCAAATGTGTAAAAAATCCACAAATGTGTGTTAAGATTTGCAAATGTGTACTAAGCTCTACAAATGTGTAAATCAGTCTGTAAACACTGCATGAAAAGTGGGATTTTCGTCAATATGCGGCATTGTAGATTGTCGTGGAAATTCAGGTTAGCGGCAGTTTACGGCAATTTGCAGGCTTCGCCGAAAACTCCCGTAAATTGTCAGAAATTGACGTGGACTATCACTATCGAGATTTCCTGTATCAAAACCCATTATACCCCATTTCATAGGCTGTTCTGTAAAGGAGGGTAGGGGTCGGAGGGTGAGAGTTGTGGGTAAACTGTTTAATTGTTAGTACCTTGTTTCACACAATTAATCTTTGTATTAATTTCACTTCATGGATAAGGTGTAATATGTATCTGTAATACCCAAAATTCCATAAATAAATCATAAATAAAAAAAATAAAAACATCAAAAACTGATGAAAATCCCCATAGCTGGATCCATCAGCCTCACGAAAACCGCCTCTAAGCAGAGGTATGTATATATTGTCATTTGAATCTTTTTATAACAGGGTTACTTTTCCTCACTGCTGCTCTCTTAATAAACCTATTAAGCTGCAAAAAAAAAAAAAAAAAAGAAATAGAAAAACATTGGGGTTTTTTTCATCTTTTACAGTGGAATTAATGGAAACCTAATGATTTCTCAAGGTGGTGTCCAAGTGTCTAAAGTGTCCAAGTGTCTAACTAAAGCCAGCTTCACTGCAAGCAGTTCTCTGTCTGTGTCAGTTCTCTGAGCACCTCATTAACCAGATTCTGAAAAACTGCACACGCATTAGTGGGCCCAAAAGAAATCACTAAATTGTCATGGCCAGTATTGAAAGCAATCTTCCATTCGTCATCCTCACAAACGCGGACCAGGTGGTAAGCATTGCGGAGATCCAGCTTGAAATAAAATGTTTGCCCCCTGAATTTGGTCAAAAGCTGAGTTTATCAGACGTATGGGGTAGCGATTCTTGATCATGATGTTGTTTAGACCCCTGTAATCTATACATGGCCTGAAGGAACCATCCTTCTTCCCCAGAAAAAGAAACCAGCACCAGTAGGGGAAGAGGAGGGACAGATAATGCCAGCTCTAAGTAACTCAGAGATATATTTTTCCATGGCGAGAGTTTCAGGAACAGATAAAAAAAAACTAACCTAACCCTAGGCCGTGGGTCGAAAACCTGCGGCTCCGGAGCCGCATCTGGCTCTTTAGCATCCCCTTTCGGCTCCCTCAAGCTTTTTTAAAGATTTATGAAAATCTATATATATATATTTTTTAATATGATGTGCAGGAGGTCAAACAAAAATGAATTGTTTTTCAATACTGTAAACATTTGTATAATAAATAAATTGAAACAATAATTTGCATCATAGCCATATAGATCAGTGGTCACAACTTGCAACAAACCAGCGTGGCGTGGTGCCAGGCAAACAAAGCGGTGGGTGTGTCTCGGACCATGAATTACAAATTGTAAAATTTGAAGATAGCTAATGAGAAAAGAGGATTCAAAGAATGGAGCCAATCATTTGCTTTCATTATTAATGTGGAAGGATTGCCCGCATTTTTGCTTTGTAATGAGAGGTTGCCAAAAAAGAAAAAGAAAAATTTAGAAAGGCATTTCCTGGGAAATCTAAATATGCAGCCGATCACCAAGCTGGGTGTCAAGTATTAATGTGGTTTCTTGTGCAATTCCCCACTTGAAAGGGATAGTCCTCTACATTCCAACTGGATTTCACTCAATGAACAGCCATTTGATAGTCATTTCATTATTTATTTATTGAAAATTGGCAGTAGGCAGTGGGCAGGTGAAAAACCTCAAAAAGAGAAGGTAACACAAAACAATAAGTCATTTAAGATAATACAAAATTTTACCCATCATTAATTTAAGCATTTTAGCCCTTTTTAAATAAAATATTTCCCACCATGTTCTAAAATAAACAAACATATTTTTTTAAATACATCAACAATTTAAAGTAACTGATTTTTTTTCTTAGCCAAATTAAGGTGATCAATTTTAGCCAAATGAATTAAATCTTAAATTTTAGCCAATAAATTAAACAGTATATTTTTTAAGCTAATTTAAATATTTTAGCAAACTATAGTTTTTAACTTCTACATTTTCAAAAGTTTTTAATGTTATCCTATACAAATTAAGAAAACAAAATGTACTTCTACAAACAAATGCAACTTTTAAACCATCTTTTCTTTAAATCAATTTGTTAACATACCAACATAAACATTTCCACAAATAATAATAATCAACAGCAGTCCAACCACAGTCTGTATTAACCTTAATAAAGTTCTTTGATTTGAAAGTCCAGCCAGAGAATCAAGGGCATTAAGAGTCTTACCGGTTGTCTTTCAGAGTTTTTTGTAGAAGGACTTGTTTGCACAGTCACAATGGAGCTGAATTTTGGCTGTCTCCAAACATGAGCTGCTTACATTTCTGCCATGCAGCAGTTCTTGGTCCTTTTTCTTTAGAGGTCCCTGGCACGCCCAAATTGCTGGGAGATTAGTTCCACCTGGTGCCTCCCTGCTGATGGGAGGGGAGGAGGGGCTACCCGGCAGTTTGACAGAACACCTCCCACTCGATTTCTCCACGGAAACGATGGAGAGATCGCAGCATCAGCAACTGCAAACTGACGGTCAAGACCTTCTCCAGTCGGAGGCTTGTTCCTCAACTGGCAGCAGAACAACTAGGCGTCGGACATCTCTATGCAGGACTGTGGTTTGGGCAGTTTCTTTCAGGACTCTTGATGGTTGGCTCAATGTGGGTCCTGTTGCAGAAAGATTGGAGCTTTGAACTACTTTAACGTGTACATCCCGAACAATGCCTTTAGCATCAAGGTTGACACTCACGACCCGTCCCAACTTGAATTGACCTCTTACTGCATTTTGGTCACATAACCAAACAATATCTCCGACTGAGACATTTCGACTTGAGGTGTGCCATTTGCTTCTCACGAATAAGTTTGGGCCGGCGAGCTGGCTCCAAGACCTCCAGAACTTGTTGACTTGGTGTTGCATTTCTCTGAGTCTTTTGTAAGGGTAGCTTGCGAAGTCAAACGTTCTGATGTCACCACTTGAAGAGGCACGACCCAGAAGAAGTGTGTTGGGTGACACATACTGAACACAGTCCTCACAGCTCTGCACCCGAGCATCTATTGGCCGTTCGTTGGCGAGGTTTGCAGCAAGCTGTAGAGTTGTCTGAAGCTCGCTGTAGCTGAGGCTTGTGTTGTTACCCAGGCTCTTGAGTGCCTTCTTGACGATGCGGACAGCAGCCTCAGCAGCCCCATTGCGATGAGGGGAGTCAGCTGGATGAATTGTCCAATCCCACTCGGTACCTTTCTGAGCAGACATTTCCTCTATTGCAGCTTTATCTTGAGAATCCAGGAACTGGTACAACTCTCTAAGGACAGGTTTGGCGCCGATAAAGTTTGTCCCTGGATCGGACCAGATCTTCCTAGGGTGCCCTCTAATTGCAGTAAATCGTTGATATGCCATTAAGAAGCTTTCTGTGGACATTGTGTTGACCAGGTCCACGTGAATTGCTCTGCTGGCCATACAGCTGAAAACGACACCCCACACCTTCATTGAGACTCGTTTCTTTATGTCATCTTTGACAAGGTAAGGTCCAAATAGATCAACTGTGGTGAACTCAAATGGAGCTGCTGGGCTGCTTCTTTCAGGAGGCAGGTCACCCATTACTTGTTGGCATCTCTTTGCCTTGGACTTTTTGCAGAAAAGGCAGTGTTCCACTACTTTTTGGGCAATTCTCCGTCCTTGGATGACCCAAGCTTTCTTTCTCATTTTTAGCAGGGTAGCAGCCACACCTTCATGACCCTCATTGTGTGCCTCTTGTGCCAACAAAGTGGAGACCCATGCATTGGAGGGTAGGAGGGGAACTGCCATGCCATCTTCCTTGAAGCTATGAATTCTCCCACCACAGACTAGTAATCCTGTCTCTGGCTCTCTGTACACAACCAAGCGGTCTGTTGTGGTAGCTGGGAAGGTCATTCCCGCTTGAGCAGCAAGGAAGATGTCTCTGAGTGCATCCTGACGTTCTATGGCAGTGATGACTCCTTCAGTTGGAACCGCCTCCCACTTTAGGGTTGTCACGGACTTGCTTGCTGGTAAAAATTTTTTAGCAGCTCTCCAGACAATGGCAACGGTCTTGACTAGGCTTTTTAGGCTACTGAAGCGTCTTCCATCCAGTAAGTTTTGGACAGCTGTACCAGCGGGAGGTCTTCGCTCAGGACTTTGTCTATTTCTTTTTACTTGGGCTCTGGTGAGTGCTGCAACGA